CCTCCAGAACGGATCAGATTTGCAACGAGGTATGACTGTAGTGGCTTGTGAGTTTTGTTTACATAAACTATTTGTAAATAATTTGTCATTCGTAATTTTTTCTCTCCTGCCTCATCAGCTTAGACTTTTTGCTCCAAGAACTTTGCCTTGGGCTGCTAGACCTGAACCTTAACACTTGATGGCTACATAAGCAAGGAGGGTTTTTTCTGGGGGGAAAGGAGTTCTGGAGAGAAGAAATGGGAAAAGGTGTCATTTCCCCCCCTATTCTTCCTTTAATTTCATAGCATATATTCCATCCTCCTTTTCTTCTAGGATACTCAATATTAGCTGTATGCGTTCAAGGAGATCCATTTCTTCCTCCCTCCAATTTCCTTTCCTACGCCTCCCCTCAGTTGATGACTAAACCATATACTGGCTCCATTACATCATTTTGTTTTTATTTGTAGGCTTGGCTGCTATCAACATCTATCATAGAACCTCAGAGGTGCTAGTCAGACCATTGTGTGTGTGTGTGTGTGTGTGTGTGTGTGTGTGTGATACTTTTATCTCTCTGTGTGTGTATTCACATGTAGAAAGTCCATGTAGCACCTTGTCCAGAGTATTTTCAAAATCTGAAAATAGGCTCCAAATAAATTACTTCAGATAAAGGTTGATGAGAGTGTGTGTGGATATATTTTCAGAAAAAGCTCTTGTCAGAAATGACTTTAATACCAAAGTAGTTTTTTGTTCAAATCCTTATTTTTTCTTTGTCAACCACCATTGCAATTATTAGTATTCTAAACTTAATATTATATGTAATCAAAATAATTGAATCCTTTTAACCACTTTCTAAAACAAGTTCCTTGTGTGGCATGGCTGGAAAGAGACTTCAAATATATTCATTTTTACATAAAATACAATAAAAAATAAACTTAATTACCGTATTTTTCGCACCATAGGACGCACCGGACAATAGGACGCACCCCTCTAAAACAAGGTGCCGTTTAAGGTGCGTTCAGACGCCTTCAGGCGGCTACCTTGGAAGCCTGGAGAGCGAGAGGGGTCGGTGCGCACCGACCCCTCACTCTCCAGGCTTCAGGTTCCTTTCGACCTGCTCTTTGGGGCTGGCGGGGGGAAGCTCACTACCAGCCCCAAAGAGCAGGTCGGGGAGCAGCGCAAAGGCGCGCAGCTATAGAGGCTCCTGCCATAGCCGCATGTCACCTCTCCAGCCGGGAGAGGGTTGCTGGGGGCTTCTTTAGCCCCGCGCACGCTCTCCCAGCTGGAGAGATGGCGTGCGGCTAAAGAGGCTGCTGCAATAGCTGCGTGTCACCTCTCCAGCTGGGAGAGGGTAAGCGGGGCTTCTTTAGCCCCGCGCACGCTCTCCCAGCTGGAGAGATGGCGTGCGGCTAAAGAGGCTGCTGCAATAGCTGCGTGTCACCTCTCCAGCTGGGAGAGGGTAAGCGGGGCTTCTTTAGCCCCGAGCACGCTCTCCCGGCTGGAGAGGTGGCGCGCGGCTATAGAGGCTCCTGCCATAGCTGCGTGTCACCTCTCCAGCCGGGAGAGGGTTGCTGGGGGCTTCTTTAGCCCCGCGCACGCTCTCCCAGCTGGAGAGATGGCGTGCGGTTATAGAGGCTGCTGCAATAGCTGCGTTTCACCTCTCCAGCTGGGAGAGGGTAAGCGGGGCTTCTTTAGCCCCGAGCACGCTCTCCCGGCTGGAGAGGTGGCGCGCGGCTATAGAGACTCCTGCCATAGCCGCGCGTCACCTCTCCAGCCGGCAGAGGGTTGCGGGGCTATGCTGTCTTCGCTCTATAGGACGCACACACATCCCCCCTTCATTTTTGAAGGGGAAAAAGTGCGTCCTATGGTGCGAAAAATACGGTATAATAAGAAATTAGTTGGTCCAGATTTAGAAACAGTGGTCTGTGTTGGAGACATCAACCTTGTTTGGCCTGTGGGCACATTTGTATTTTTGAGCAAACGCCATAGGCACCCCTCTCTCTGGTTACTTCACACTCCTCCCTAGATCGGTTGTTCCCCCACCCCCAAAAGTCAGTGAAAGTGGCAACTTGAATGCACACTTTGCTTTTCCAGGGGATCTTTGTAAAAGTCCAGTGGAATTAATTTGAGCTTTGAAAAGCTCTTCTCATTATTTGAACTTACTACTTGCATTTTTAAAGAAGAAGGTAACTCTAAAAGACTTGTAAAAAATAAAACAGCATGAAAACAGTATAAAATTCAAACAGTAAAAGCCGAATATTATATTTACAATGGTACCTTTAGTTACAAATGCCTCAGGTTACAAACGCTTCAGGTTACAAACTCCAGTAACCTGGAAGAGTTAACCTCGATTTGAGAATTTTGCCCCAGGATGAGAACGGAAATTATGTGCTGGCGACGCAGCAGCAGCAAGAGGCCCCATTAGTGAATTAATGCCTCTAGTTACGAACAGTTTCAGGTTAAGAACGGACCTCCGGAATGAATTAAGTTCGTAACTAGAGGTACCACGGTATAAGAGAGTAGGACTAACATATCTCACACAGAAAAGGCCACATATAATCAAAACCAAAGGCCTGAAAATGAAATAATCCCCTCCTCCGGCACCTAAAGATACATAATGATGGCACCAGGCATAGCTCCTTGGGGAAAGCATAAGTGGAGAACCATCACTGGAAAGGCCTGCTCTTGTTTTTACACCTCCTGTACCTTCCTTGGAGTGGGTATATGAAGAAGGACCAAGGGTATGGGTTGGTTTATGTTGCAAAGAGTCAGTCCTTGGAGTATTGGGATCCTGAGACACAAAAAGTCTGTATAGGTCAAAGCCAGCACCTTGAATTTTAGCCTGGAAATTAATTCGAAGTCAGTGTAGTTTGCCAGAATTGGAGCTGAAAGAGAAATGGGAGAGAAAGTAACCCTTCTAATGTCTTGTCAGTCTGTTTCTAATCAATTCCTTGGTTTCTCTCCCTGCTTCCTCAATATTACATTAAGAACTCTTGTGTCCATAGAGTATTCTGTTTTTACTCTTTGCTACAAAAAATCTCCCTGTATACTTTTCTGCATTCCACATGAGCATAATCTTGGTTTTGGCCACATCTTCTCCCAACACAAACATTTGCATTTCATATAAATACATATACATTTTCTAAATTGTTTATCGCTTGTCTCACTTCTTGTAGAAAAAAGTGCCTGCTAAATTTTTCTCCTGATTGCCTTTGGAATTTCAACTCTTCCGGTTTTTTAAAACTCTGAGCCAGTCAGGTTTCTTTCTTTTTCTAGTCTCCTTCCCATCAATTTCTGCTTGTATATTTGAATTTACAACATTTGCTCTAACATGAAAAAAATATCTTTTGGGTATCATGTCAGTTGTCTTTATTTAATCCATAATGTTTATCAATCTCCCCATCCATTCAATGATAATATTAAAAAAAATTCCCTGAGGAAGGTTTGTGTGTTGCCTTTAAAATCTCTGGTTAATCTGCAGTAAATTATCAAATATTAAAACCTTCTGGGATTCTTGACTCCACGTTGTCCACAGACTTTTTGAAGAGCATTCAAGGGTGGACCAAGATTGGCCCATGAGCTTGGAGGTTTCCCCCACCCCTGTTCTGTACATTTGGTCATTTTAATGCTTTCCATCAGTTTGCCCCGGAGTGACCAACATTAAGCTAAGTGGCCTATAATTCTTCCTTGTCCCTGCTTTTCTTTTTCTTTTTTTAAAAAAAGATGTTTATTGTTAGTATTGCTGATAATTGGTCTCCATATTTGAGGACTAGAAACTGCTCAACCTTGGCAGCAATTTATTTTGGTTAGATGATCAGCAATTCCACATTTGGATTCTTTTAAGAATTCTTGGCGTAGAACTTCATTTCTTGCCATCACGTTCCTCAGTTCTTTAGACAAACAGCTATCTGCCCAACATGTTCTGTAGCGAAAGTAGATGCAAATAATTCATTCAGTTTCTCTGCAGTTGTCTTTTCCTCCTTTAGTACATGCTCGGCCCACATTTCTTCAGCCCTATTATCACAGCTGGTAAAACTAGATTAGCAGGCTTTTGAAACAATACAAAATCTGCTTAATGGAGTGAAAGTGGGATGTGTGTATTTGTTATTCTATAAACTTGACTTCAGCAAATTTTACCTGGGTGGTTTACAAGATTATAATAAAATGGCATAAGCAGCAAATTCATCTTTTACACTGCATTCACATGGGGGGAGGAAAGTTGTTTTTTTCTCCTTAATGTTTTGAACTTGAAGCAGGTTGCAGTATGAAGTGTGGACAGAAGAGAGGGCAACGATATAAGATATATACGATATCTTGATTGTCATTGTCCATTGCAGAACAATGAAATTGAAAAACTACATAAAACATTCAAAAACCCCTAAAAACTCTGAACCCCATTTTAAAATGCACTATACTATAAAGACCCCTTATGCTGCGTTTAGAACCAGAATTGCATTTACGTAGAAACTATTTCTCAGGCGGCTACTCCTGGCCTTTATAACCCTATACCTTCTTCCAGAAGGCAGAAGCTGAAAGAGATAATTTCTGGGGTGCGTACTATCCTGCGCTATCTCTAACAGAGTTATAAAGAGGAGATTTTACAGACTTGGGACAGTGGTATAGCATAAGGCACAGGAATTGTAATGGCAGGGGAGAGATCTGATATTTGATGAAAACTACAGCAGAAAAGTGGGACGCGGGTGGCGCTGTGGGTAAAAGCCTCAGCGCCTAGGGCTTGCCGATCGAAAGGTCGGCGGTTCGAATCCCCGCGGCGGGGTGCGCTCCCGTTGCTCGGTCCCAGCGCCTGCCAACCTAGCAGTTCGAAAGCACTCCCGGGTGCAAGTAGATAAATAGGGACCGCTTACTAGCGGGAAGGTAAACGGCGTTTCCGTGTGCGGCTCTGGCTCGCCAGAGCAGCGATGTCACGCTGGCCACGTGACCCGGAAGTGTCTCCGGACAGCGCTGGCCCCCGGCCTCTAGAGTGAGATGGGCGCACAACCCTAGAGTCTGTCAAGACTGGCCCGTATGGGCAGGGGTACCTTTACCTTTACCTTACAGCAGAAAAGTAATGTGCATGAGGAAGAATCCACAACAGGTGTAGCCTAGTTCAGAAGGGTAGATAAAGTTAAATATAAGAACAATAAACTTGGAATTTGTGCGGAGCGTGTACCCAGAAGAGAAGGAGAAGGCCAGAAATGGGAGAAGGGAAGGCTAGCTTGGAAAGGGATCTAGCCATCAAAATAATAGTATTTTCAGAAGCCAGGTGGTTTAACTTGTTTTGCATAATGCCCAAATGTGAAGTTGCTTTAGTTCATTAGTACAGCTGTACTTTGAAATGGGGAGAGAAATTCAGCATAGTGCTATGGCAATCCTGTCAGCCCAAGATTTTCAGCTTGCAGATGGAACATCTACCCTCCCCCTTTCCCCCTGTACGCTGTTCTGGAGATTCGCCCAATTCTTCCCCTCCTCCCCTGCATATTTCAGGGCACACAGGAAGAGGAGAAAGAGAAAAAGCCCGTTGTGCTGGTGGAAGTCTTTGCACAGAATTTTGCTGATGGGACTAGTTAGTTGAATCCCAGCCACATTGAAAAGAGGACATTACATTTAAAACACTTGCAGGAAATGGGGACTGCAATTTTGCAAAGTTCTATATTGTATGCCCAACTGAAAATCAGTGGGACATAACCACCTGTGCATATGTGTAATATTTCAGGGAAGAAGCAGGACCCAAAGAACTGCTTACAGGTGAGTGCAAGGGTTTGCACACACTGGTGGATATTTTTTTTAACAGTACCCCCACTCCCCCAAGTGGCAAATTAGAAATTGTTTTGGGAAGGCCCCTTGGTACTTAAAACTCATTCATCACCATGGAGCATGCAGGCTGCTGTTTTCAGAAAGCATATGCACAAAGCACATTAGCTACAGAGAATTAGTTGCATGGTTTGTTAGTCTGGCCAAACTCTATTGCAGGGGTCAGCAACCTTTTTCAACCGTTGCTGGACTATATTTTGAAAAAATAAATGAACGAATTCCTGTGCCCCATAAATAACCCAGAGATGCATTTTAAATAAAAGGACACATTCTACTCATGTAAAAACACGCTGATTCCTGGATCATCTGCAGGCCGGATTGAGAAGGTGATTGGGCAGCATCCGGCCCCTGGGCCTTAGGTTGCCTACCCCTGCTGTATTGCTTTTCTGAATAGCCAAGGCAATAGAGGCAAATATTTATTTGTGCAAAAGCAGAAATGTGATTTTTAAAACATAAGGTTTTTAGAAGGCAATGAAATTTCAACAGCATAACTTTTTAAAGTGCAAACACAAAATAGCTTTTTAACTCATTTTGTTTTTATAGTATTAAGTAATTATTCCTCAAATAGAGAGGGGGGTGTCCTGCTGTAGGACTTAGAAACTAAGAAGACACAAGGGAAAGGGATTGCAGGGACAAGGTACAGGAGGAAAAGCACTTCTTCAAGGCCAATACAAAGTGGTGAGCAGCAAGCATTTATTTCCATTGTGTTTATTTGGCTGTAGTAAAAGCTCAAGAGTGGTTTCCAAAAATAATACATTTCATAGTTCTGTAAAAGCCCCACACCCATAGCAGCTTGAGGATGATGATGATGATGATGATAATAATAATATAATAAAAAATTACACTCCACCCATCAGACTGGAGTGCTCCAGACTGGGTGGCTTCCAACATAATATAAAAACAGTGAGACATCAAACATTAACAATTCCTGCTACATGACTGCCTTCAGATGTCTTCAGAAAGTTGTGTAATTGTTTATCAGTTTGACATCTGATGGGAGGATGCTCTACGGAGTGGACACAACTACCAAGAAGGCCCTCTTCCTGGTTCCCTGTAACTTCTCGCAGTGAGGGAGCTGCTAGAAGGCCCTCGGAACTGGACCTCGGTGTCTGAGCCGAACGATGGGGGTGGAGATTCTCATTCAGATATAAAAGTTTGATAGAAGACTGGGGAGTGGGAGCAGTGAATTTCTGATAAAAGTCCAGAATCCTTAATATACAAATGAAAGTTGGGTGGGGTTTAGTCCCTATGTCCTATGACGTTTTTTGGAAAAGGTAGAAACATAGTTCTACTGGTGCTTTCAAATGGAGAAAGGATCATTTTCAGTACACATAAAGGCATCCAAAAGGGGAAAGGATTGGGGAGGGTGTATGGGGAAATGTGATACAGACCCCTAAAGTGTAAATTGATCATTACTTCTTCTGACCCAGTAATAAAATAGGCTGTATATGTGAAGCTGTTTACCAAGCTTCATTGCTGTGCTTAAAGCTGCTTCATTTCCAAGCATGTTGAAGGCTTCTGTTTCCTTTGGTTTAATATCTACTTGTCTTCCTAAGATTTTCCTGATTGAATACCCCCTTCGTGTACCTCTGAATTCTAGGGTATGTCTTCACCTGGGAGAGGTATTCTATACCAATAGCAAGCTCTAAATACACACACTGAGAGCCACAATAGACTTCTGTTTCTACTGAACTTGTTCTCTCCCTGACTCCCAACATCTCACTTCTCCATCTGCTTTTGGTCCTTCTCTCAAAAGCGTTTTGAATCTTCTTTGATCTCTTTGTGAAAGATATAGAGCATGCTTGTGTCTTTTGCTCCTGTGCCCCAAAGACAAATTTCTACTGAATTTCTGTTCACCTTGAACTGCTTGTAGCTATAGCACTTCACAAATAATAGCATATATCTAATCAGCACACTACCTGCCTGGTGCCCGGATATGTTGATTTCTACCATATTCTTAACATACCCTCTAAAAATGTGTTTTGCCTATGTGAGGTGCATTGTTAACCACTACAGGTAGGTAGTAACCTCATCCTTTTGCCCATTTCATAAGAGAAACAAAACTAATATAAAAGAACAAATGTTCAGTGTGCCTTTCAATGTTTGCTCAAATTATTGTCTCTCTGTGTTGAATTAGTGGAACCTTTGACCAGTGTTGACAGATGGGTTCCAAGCTTCTCATTTAGAAGACATTTCTGATCTTCCATGCCATGGCTAACACATGGCTCATCCACACATCCCAAGTAATTTTGAGTAGTCCAGAAAAGTCACCAATAACCTGGCTGCAGTTTTAAAAAAGTAAATGGGTGGTGCTGTTCTCTCCCCCCCCCCCCATTGCGGAGAAAGGTGGCACCTCTATCTTTTTACTAAAGGGTCCCTTCTGCCCCCTGGGATGGCACTGTTCTTAAAAGGTTGTCGCCATTGTTAGGTCTTAGAAGGCTAGAAAACAGGAAGAAGACCTGACAGTGGTGTCACACCAAAGAAGGGGCCTTTATCCAATGGCAAGAAGAGGCAGGAAAGTGCTGGGGCAGGGAGAGCAAGAGCACTGCTAAGTGAATGTGTGTTTTTGTCTGCTGCTGAGTCCACCCTTCCCCTGCTCTGTGTGCACCTGTGTGCAGGCTGTCTATCTCCTGTTGAGTGCATGAATATGTAAGTGGCATGCCTGCCTTCCCTGGCTGCTGAGGGTACGTATATGTGCCTCTGAATCGGGCTTGGGTTGGCAGCCCCCTAGTCTTCTGCTGAATTACCACAGGAGGACTAAACACATGTAACAATTTCCCCACCAGTCTGTAAACCTGCATATACATCACACATGCAGAGTCTAAGCATAAATAGCTTTTATGTTGGTAAACAGTTTTACTTGTGCTGAACTCACATAGTTTGGAATACAACTACACAGTTCCCTCAAAATAAATAGCATGTCATTCTTGGTGTCATTTTGCTTTTTGTTGCATTTAGAGTTTACAAACAAATCTTGGTTAATTTTTACATTTCCACAAGGGTCAAAGTAGGTTTTAAAACTCTAGGTGTGTAAAACTTACCCTTCACTTTTCTCCCTTGGCCAGTATTCCTGACTGGGTTATCGCCAGCCTATAACTCCTTAAATGGCAGACTATTTTTTGGATGCTTTTGAAAATGAGTATCTATAAGAAGCTCAGACCCTCTAAATTATAATATTGCTTACAGTGAGTGCTAAATTGCCTGAAAACAGAGTCTTGTGTGGGAAATCTTCAGATCATAACGATAAGCATTCTCTCCCCCCCTCTCGTCAAGCCTCTCTCTTACTGTTTGAGATGACTATTGCCATCAGACTAAAGTCCTTAAATGGTCTTCCCAAGATACATTATTCTTTAGATAATCATTCTCTTGTTTCCTGAAAGGGACACATTCTGCTGTGAAATTTATACAGATTCATACACTAATCTCCGTCATCCTTTTCGATTGACTAGTTCGTAAGATGACGTTGGATTCTATTTGTAGTGACAGAATTCTTAAATTTATGCCTGCACAATGTGGTGTTGAACACTGCCAAAGGAAGAGAAGACCTAGAAAGTTAACTGGCCTGGCTCCAAAAAACGGCTCCAGCAAAAATAGAGAATGCCAGAAAATAACAGTCAGCCACTTCAAAAATGTCCAAATTGACATGATGTCAAGCTCTTGAGTTGGGACACCTTTAGGATAAGTGTTCCATGCAAACAGAGAGATTGAAGTTGATGCTGTTCTCAGGTAGATAGAAGGGCAAGCCATCTGACTATATCACAATTCTGTAGACTTGATTTTAAAAAATGGATGGAGTTTCCATTATAGAATTAATCTCCATGGTTCAGTAAAAGAAAAAGAAAAGGTTGTTGTGTTTTTTGTTTTTTGCTTGTTTTGGATGCTGCAAAGAAAATGACGTTTGCATTAAAACTGAAGAGATAACATGCACAGTTTGGAAGGAAATCCAAGTCAAGATGCTATGTAGGTGAAGTTATAGTAAGAAAACCATGTTCTTATTACGGAAAAGTGTCCTAAATTGGCAGAATGAATAGAAGGTTGCATTAAGAAACAAGGAAAACTTAAAAGATCACACAGAAATACAGTATTGGCAATGAAAATGCTTCTGAGAAGACTTTTCCAAAACAGCCAAACTGTAACTTATAACCATTACTCTACCATAATGTAGAGAATGCAGAATAACAGTTGTTTGCCAAGTTCATAAACAAGTGTGCTATGTTAGTTGCATAATTTTTTGGTGGTTTTTCTTTTTAAAACTTGCAGTAGAGAAAATTATTGGTTTTCATTAACTCTCCATAAAGTACTTAGAAACTTGTCATAACTTTATCCTCCTACTATCCTATCTCTGTCTACTAATCATTGTTCCTTTGATAATAAGTCTATTATTCCCTGAAAGGGACACATTTTACTGTGAAATTTATGCAGATTCTCATACCAACCTATTCCCAGCTACTGAAAGACACCCAAAATTATCTGGGAGTATAGTCAGTCTAATGCTGTCCTGGATTATTTAAGACTTGACAGTAATCAGCTTGAATTGTGATTGTGCCCAAAAAGAGTAGTTCAGACACTGGAGCACTGGTGAAATGTGCTCTCGATTATCTTTCCCACACTTGAAAGCGGGCCAGAATCGTCATACACACATTGAAGAAGATAAGGAACAAAATAGGATCCTACAGTGACCATTGCAAGTGGGTTGACAGTTTTTAGTTTCTTGGTTCTTATTGAGAGGAATGAAAGAACCACTCTGCCAAATCATGGCTTGTAGCCAGCACTCTAGCCAGGCCAAATGAAGTCTCAAACTCAAGTGGCATTCATCAGTCAAATTTCAGATGGTTCTTGTCATACAGCCAAGTACATATTTTTTTACACTGTGCATGGGTGAAGAGACTGAAAAATATTTCAAGACAATGAGTCATAACCAGAGTGCTGATGTT